TTAGTTGCGCTTACCAGGAGATTACCCTGAGGCACCAGGGGTATTTCCAGATATTTTTTTACTAGGGGGGGACAAGTCAGGCACTGACTTATGCAGGGGTGGCATGAAGTATGTGTCTCAGCTTTCCAGTCATTCCCAATCTATGTAATCCCAAAACTGTTTATGGGCCACAGTGTGCAGAAATATCAAAAAATCAAGTCTGACCTAAACTGCATGGGATTAGTATAAAATAGGGAAGTCTGGGAGACTTGTAGGTACCCACAAAACCCATTTTCATTCAGATATGTTGAGGTCAGAGGTCAATGGATCCCTTTAAAAATGGCCATGCCAGGTTTTCCATCGCCTAAATTTAGCACACAAATTGGGGGGTTATTTAGCCACCTTCCCCACATGGTACCATGACATGGTACCAATGGTTGCCTTAGGTCACCTAGTTTCATATGATACCAGTATCATTACTCTAGCTTTAAAACGGGGCCCACTACAGCTCCTAAAAAACAGTGCGAGTAGAAGAGGGAAGGTTAATGGGGTGGTACTTGGTTTTGCTAATCAGATTTCAGGGACAGGCAGTGCCAACCCAGGCCCCCCATTGGGACATGCCTCTGAGGGGCACACATGTGAAGTATGAATTTTGGGGAGAAATGACGCAATTACCAATTTTGTGGGAGTAGCAGAAAAGTAACATAACAAGTACTGCAACTACTTACTGTTGACAAGGAGTAATAACTAAATGAATAATATTACTTTTGAAAAGAGTAATATATGAATGCAATTCCCTGAGAGACTGGGCAGCTTCCTCTCCTCTCCTCGCCTCTCCTCTCCTCTCCACTCCTTACCACTCCTCTCCTCTCCTCTCCTCTCCTCACCACCTCTCCTCTCCTCTCCTCTCCTCTCCTCTCCTCTACTCTCCTCTCCTCACCCCTCCCCTCCCCTACCACTCCTCCTCCTCTCCTCTCCTCTCCACTCCTTACCACCTCCTCTCCTCTCTCTCCTCCTCTCCTCTCCTCTCCTCTCCTTACCACCCCTCTACTCTACTCTCCTCTCCTCTCCACTCCTTACCCTCCTCACCTCCTCCCTCTCCTCTCCTCTCCTCTACCACTCCTCTACTCTACCTCTCCTCTCCTCTCCACTCCTCCTTACCCTCTCCTCTACTCTCCTCACCCTTACCTCCTCTCCTCTCCTCTCCTCTCCTCTCCTCTCCTCTCCTCTCCACTCCTTACCACTCCTCTCCTCTCCTCTACTCTCCTATCCTCTCCTCTCCTCTCCTCTCCTCTCCACTCCTTACCACTCCTCTCCTCTCCTCGCCTCTCCTCTCCTCTCCTCTCCTCTACTCTACTCTACTCTCCTCTCCACTCCTTACCACTCCTCTCCTCTACTCTTCACATGATTCATGATTCACAAACTATAAAAAGTCAGGTGTCTTCCTGTAACACTTTGTATTCCTTGCAGGACTTACAGTAGCATGAGTAGAGTATTCAGCAGCAACAGTCAGATGTGCTGCAGTCTCATCATTAGTGACGGACTAATGCTCTGCTCAGATTGTGTTTTCAGGAGCTGTCTGTCTGCCTGCTCTGCTGCAGATAATAACAGTAAGCTCAGCGTGGAAAACAAACTTTCAAATTATGTTTTAAAGCTTGCAGTGTGTACTACTACACAAAGTCAAGAGGAAAACAGTCCTTTGACAATTTGCAGCATGTCATACACACTAAACACACATGCACACTAAGCTTATCTCACTGTTAATCCATATTTATTTATTCAGAAAACAAATGATGTCATTTTTTTCATCAAATGGAAAAACCTTTCCCCTTACCAAAATCCTTGAACTTATCCCAAAAAACAGAAAATGTCACTGAATAGATATTGTTGTTTTGTTTGTTACAAAAAACATTTTGCCTTCCTTTCTGTAGGATGTAAAATAGACAAGAGGGAAACTTCAATACTGTTACTTAAGATATGTATATATATGTGTATATATTAGTGTAATGGAAATTTGTGAAATTTGTTGAGTATATCTCTTTGAGAATATAGTTGAAGTTTTGGAACATCATTAATCTACCCACTTGAAGGTCCAGTGTGTAACATTTAGAAGGATCTATGATAAGAAATGGAATATAATATTCATGAATATGTTTTGATTCTGTGGAATCCGCCATGTTGGATTGCCATGTTTCTACAGTAGCCTGGAAAGGACAAACTAGACACTGGCTCTAGATAGGGGCATTCGAGTTTCACAGTCACTGTAGTTTCTCCTTTGTGCTTAGAAGGGGAGGGTGAAGCCATCAGCAACTTCACCACTAGATGCCTTTAAACCCTACACACTGGTCTTTTAATCTAAGTATTTGGTGTATATTTAAGATTGTCACTATAGTATTTTACTTTTCCAGCTCCATCTATGTAATCTAGAGGCTATCAAAGTGTAAACTGATGTTTGGACTTCCTACTACATGCACACTGGAATAATTGGGAGAATATTACAGACTGGATCTTTGACAGATTTTATTTTATTTTTACATTATGTAATATGATATACAGATCTGGATACATTACCATAAACTTGTATACCATTGGATCTCTCTGGATACAGTTACTTTTTGTCCAGTAGTAGGGAATATGATTACAGGTTACAGACTTAGAGCTACTCCCTATTTATGTGAGCTGGCCTCAAACCGTTTGCCTGATGAAGATCTAACACTGAAACCTTGCCTATCTTAAGGTAGATGGTGTAAGGATTTAATATGAAATTTGTGGGTTTTGAAGAAGCACATCCCACACACACACACACACACACACACACACACACACACACACACATAAAGTCTAATGTGTGAAACCATCAACTGCATCCCCACTCTCATTTCATCCTCCATCAAACAACTCTTCATAAGTAAATTGTGGTGCAATAAAGATCAGATCCACTGTAGACAGCCTCATGTTATCGCTCTTTGTCCTGACAGTATCTACTAACACTGGGGCCCTGACCTGGAGGTTACCATCTCTAAAGAGAGATCAATATGAAGGGCTACAAAGTGGTTAATGGGATTAAAAAGAAAACACACACTCTGTTTATTTTACAAAATGTAGTCTGTTGGCTCTTCCTGGACTTTAGGAGAATTTATAAGACTATTAACAGCCAAATGACCAAAAACAAATCCGGATAATCCTCAGACCTGACTGGCAGCAGTTATAAGGACTATTTCATTAGCAGAAAGTATTTCCAATAAAACGTGTTCACTATCCACACTAATAGGGACACTGCTTCTGGATTAAATGTAATTTTTCTCTCCATTGTACTGACAGAAGTCTTTGAAATCTTGAAACCTGGATAAATAAACTATCTACACAAATAAATACTGCTAGAGGTTTGATTGTTTATTTAACAATTTGGGTGAACTGACACTTTAAACATAAATCCCCACTACCTTTCCACTAGTGAGGACTACAGTGCTAACACGCAGCAGTAATCCCTCCTTCTCTCCCTCCTCCTCCTCCTCCTTGGCGTCTCTGTACTCTGCAGGGGAAGGAGGATTATGGTCCTGATGGCTCTCTAATGGCCTCTGATGCTTCTGCATGGATCTACATGAGGCTGCTAATCACAGAGGCAGAGCAGGAGGAAACAGACCTGACTTCATCTGCCATCTCAGACCAATTTCCAGGGGTGATTGGGACTGAATGCACCTCAGAGCAGAGTTATTATAGTCTCTGTATTTTTCATTAGTTTTTATTAAGAGTTTAGTTTCAGTTCGTTTCCAGAGTGTGTTTGCTCATTTCTGTTTTTAATTTTTTTTAAATTGTTTTATTGGTTGGAAATGATGACTCTGTGTTGTACTAAACTTTGACGTGCAGTTATTTCAGTCACAGTTATGATTAGGGACCCTAAGTATTTCTGCCACTGTTTTCTTTTTTCCAAGTGACGGATGGTGAAGCATTTACAAAGGTTTACTTTGTGAAAGTTTGATGAGCAAAATGTATTCAAAATACCAAAAGTAAATGAACAGACCCTTTCAAAGTGTTATATAACTATGACTTTATATTATTCAATTATTGTTGTTGATAGATTAATGTGAAACCAGCATGTTTCTATAGTAGCCCAGAATGGACAAACCAAACACTGGCTTTAGGTTGTAATCTTCAACTACCCCTAAATCCTACACACAGGACATTTAAAGTAGTATATGATTGAAGTGGTGATATTGTTGTTTAATCTGTAATGATGCATCACATTTTATAAGATCATTATATGTTTTGGACGGTAGTTTAGTGACTAAAATGGAAACATTCAAGAAAGCACTAACACCCCTGTGTAAACACTGTACTATTGTAGGAATCACATTCTGGCTCAGTTTTACTCTGTGGATGGACCTTAGATAATAATAATAATACATTTTATTTTTTTTTAAAAAAGCGCTTTTCTGAATACTCAGAGACACTGTGTTCCCCGTCACAAATAATTTTTATGCAACTTCCTGGTTGAAATCAAAGATTCTCATTGTGCATGCTTGTCCACCAGCTGCAAGGACAGGTGAGCATGTGTGCAGAATCCAGACCAAATGCATGGTACTGTAAATCGATTTCCCAATCTCTTCCTAATGTCTCCTTTCTACTACTACTAAAAAACAGTGAGAAAAATCTATGAGCAAAATCCCTGGTATGGATCAATCCTCAAAAACACTGGATCCTACATTTCCCATAATGCAACCCTATAACATATTTTCAGTTTAGACCCTTCCTACCTGGTAAATACCCACATCTATCACAATCCACACTTCCAGGTTGTAACACTTTATGTTATAAATTTCTAGTTTCAAGATAATGAGATATCACTGTGACTCAGTGGGGCGAACCATAACCAGTAAGCTGAAACCTCATGAACAACAAATTGACTTTACCATGAACCAGAACATGTTTCCAACCTATCCAGGGCCATTTACTGTCTTTCCTACCATTTTAACGGCATTCTTTTTAAAATGTGTGTTCACAGTGCGTGCAGCTGTTGTTACCTTTGCAGCCACAGATGAGCTGGGCTTCTCCAGCAGATCCCAGAGCTTCTGTCTCTTGTCGGGACAGCAGCCATGCTCCTCCTCCTCACCGTCCTTGTCCCTGAGCGTCTCCGCCTCCCTCCTCAGCTCCTCATTCATCTGCTCCTTCTTCTGGTGGTACCGCGCCTGGCAGCATGACTCCAGGTAGATCTCGTCGATCCCCCAGTAGTCGAGCTCCTGGCCAAAGGACAGGGCACACATCTCCTCCATCATGTGCAGCTTCCCCGTTCGGTAGAAGTTGAGAATAGAGGAGAAGGCCACTGGGTGCCGGTCAAAGAAGTACTCATTGTCAGTGAGGCTGTAGTCGTCGCAGATCTCCAGCAGCGACTCATGAGTGTTGCAGTCTCTTAGCCGTCCTAGACGGGTTCTGGGCAGCCGGTCCAGCGTTCTCCACAGGACTTCATGCGTGAGACCTCCGACATTGAGCCTGACCCGCCGTGAGCGGGCCTTGATGCGGATAATGTCGATGGGCTCTGGGGGGAGCACGGGGCCTGCGACGGGCCGGGGGTTGACTTTGGGTGTGCTGAAGCTCACTCTGTCTGTCATGTTTGCAATGCGTGCTGCTGTCTCACTGTGGGGGTGGCTCTCCTCGGTCAGAGGTTGTAGTGGTGTGTGTGTGTGTGTGTGTGTGTGAGTGTCCGGAGCTTGTGAGCTCAGAGAGATGATGGTGGTGGTTGAAAGGGAAGGCTTGCCCACCAAGCTCACCTGGCTGTGTTCAGACCACTGTAGTCCTAGTTTGATCCATGGCTGGAAAAACAAGACACAGTACAGTTATACAATTCTGAGTCTGATTATATAATCCTCCTAATCGACCTTTAGAGCCTCTTCAGTGACTACTATCAACATCTGTAAAGACCATAAGTTATACAATGACAGTAGAAAACAAAAACCTCCCTGTGTCATCATGGCCAGATGAATTTGTTAAGGGGCAATAGATAAGCTGCTGGGCCCCTATTTATCTATTAATTTATTCTGACTATATCCTGAAGGATATAGTGAAAGTTTCAGCAAATGTGACAAAAGGTTTTTTTTTTTTTTATAAAAGTTACCTACTGCTGCTTTAACAGATCATCTGTTAAGTAATGGTAATTCATACATGAATTGATATGTGACCAAACAAGCAGGATTCCAGTTACATAAAAGTTTATTTCAGAACCATGCATTTGCTCAGCCACTCTCAACAAATAGCTTCCTATTTGTAGGAGAATATACCCAATGGTATTTTTGACACATAATGGACAAATTTGAGGAGAATGATAAGACATGTTTAAGCTCCACTGCTTTCAACAACACAAACACAATGGGGGTAGGGTTAGGGTTTTTCATTTTTTTTAAGGCTGAGAAAATGCAAGGTCTCGAAAAAATGTATGAAGTAACTGTAACTTAACATTCCTCAACTGATGAGCTCTTAAGTGTGATCCAATCACAAGAAGTTGTTAAGTGAATGATTTGTACCCTTATTATAAAGTGTTACCAATTCATTTTGTCCATAGAAACTTAACTTCAACATGAGAAGCGGTGGATCACACCACCAACACTTCAAGAAACATTCAACCCTATCCTTCCAGTGTGCTGCTATACATTTACTATAAACTATACAAAAAAGGTAGCACCGCTCACATTTTACCGTCAGCAGAGTGTTTGAACGCAGAAGCTGTGCAAAACATGTCAGTATTTTCCAATGATAATGTGAGCCAAATAAATAAGAAAAATTTGCTGGACTTGAACCTTTTCATATTATTGGGAATTTGGGTTTAGCATTCCACTGAGATTGTTGAAGCACAGCCTCGTTTTCCAGTACATTAACTATGTTATGCAACATATAAGTACAAAACTGAAATAATGAAGCAACTTGATTTTTCTCCATGACAGGGCCTCAAGATCAGATAATGCAGCAGGGTCTGATCACTTAACATTGTTCTTTAGGACTGCATATTTCCAAGCACATGTTCAATTAAATTAGCGCAAACAGTGAGCCTACAGCTTTAGGGACACTTTCTTTCTTCCATTTCTTAAGGGAATGGTCCGATTAGGCTTGCCAGACGTTTCTAGCAAGAAATATGTAGGATCCTTAATTATTCATTACTTTTCATAATCTGAACATGGTGGGCAGAGTGATACTTTGCGCAGGAAGTCAGCCAATCAAGGGAACTATTTTGCATCTAATCAATACAGCACAATAGGTTTCTGCTTTTGGCACGCGGCCCACCATTAAGTTTCAGTTTTGGCCGTCCAAGGGAAAAAGTTTTGGCAACCTGTTTTATGGGGTCAGTAGGGGACCCAGCAGCTAATTTTTGCCTGAGTCGCGTTTGCAGGTTAACATGGTTGTGATAACTGAACCCTTAGAAGAGCAGCAGGGGTCAGATCTACTAATCTACTCAAATATCAATACACATGGCAATTTCTTATACTCCACTTCAGAGTCAGATTATTCAGAGGTAATAAATGTGTCTAAGCCTGAACATAAAATACAGTTAGATAATTTCTGTATACACTGACTGTACATATTAGCCAGAAACCATATTATTTAGATTCAGTGGGTAGCAGACCCAACACAGAGTGTTACAGAGTATATATTGGAGATGTGATACATTGTGATAAACCCAAAGGAAGTTTGGTATTTTTAATTAGAAAGAATCCTCTCATTAAATCCCTAAATAACGAAACTGCAAATCTTTTCTTATGTAATGAATACAAATTTGGAATTTTAATCCACTGTCAGAGAATGAGTGGAATCTAAACTGCATTTTTTTCTTCCTTGGAAGCCTTTCTCCTCCTGGACCATAAAGGCTTATGTTGCCATTAGAAGTCCTATGACTGCGGGACCTTTATCTTATTGTGTAATGGAGTTCCACAAATCCCAGTAGTGGCATTAGGCTTCGTCTCCCCTGGCTCAAGTCTGCCTTAGTTAATTATAGCCTGTCTATCTTCTCCTGGGACACTCACAGGACACAGGGCTACGTCAGGAACCGAGCTGCGACGTCACTCAGCTACTAAAAAATCCCTCTTATATTATTTTATCCTTCAGCTCTGACATAAAGTCATGTCTGTGACATTTGATGTGTTCAATTTGAAATTAAGATGATTAATAACTTCACACTTTATTTGTGGGCTTTATTAAACAAGTGACAGTCTTTATTATATATTATATATTAATCATTAATCAATGACTACATAGCCGATTTTTTCTCGGCACTTTCTTTATCAAACCAGAACAAACAACTGCGGGGACAGGTTGGATCTGGATCCTAGAATAAGAGTCCAAAGTGAGAGCGTCCACTTCGTTGTCGAGAGATTAAGGACACTCAGGCTTAACCCGTGATTATAACCAAACTAAGTTTAAAATACAAGGTAGAAAGTGGATAGAAAGCATACACACCAACAGAAATTACATTCGTCCCCCCTCCAATTAATGCCATCAATGGTAGCACATACACAGTTTGAATGAATTAAACCTCCGTGTGGCTCACCTCTGTGCAAACTGCTGATATTTCGGAAAAGCCGAACTCTTGCCCTTCCAGGAGGTCCCACCATAGCACCCGGTTACTTATCTGAGCTGTTTCGCCTTCCCTGCGGTCGCCGATTCACGAAGCCTCCCGAGAGCACCGCACAGACCGCTGGACATCCACATTTTGGCGAAAAAAAGAAATAAAATAAGAATATAATGTATCAGCGCAGGAGAGGAAATGTCCCGGGAAGTGTGTCTGCAGCAGCGGTGAGCGCCATGAGGAAAGCCACAAGGAGAAGAAGTGTGAACCGGATGGCCCGGAGAGCTGTACCGGCACCAAGGAAGAGAAAGAATAAAGGGATGAGAGAGAGAGAGAGAGAGAGAGAGAGAGAGAGAGAGAGAGAGAGAGAGAGGTAATTGGATTGAGGGGTTCAGCACCAAGGACAGCTCCAGATCAACAGCTTGTTTCAACCTGAACTCCTGCTGCTGCTGATGCTCACATTCTTCTCTTTCATACTTTGTCTTTTGGGGGCCCTCATGAGGGAGACAGTTCACTGGAATCAGCGCTAAAAATCCCCCCGGTTGCCAGAACTTTACTGCAATAAATACGGTACTATTACAGTAAAAGGGCATTAGTATTGTTGAATTTAGGTTGCAGTTTTATTCCATATTTTACAGTATAAATGCAATTTGTTCTTTTTTTATTACCATCAATAGAAGCAGTTTTTGCCATAAGATATGTCAGTGGTTTTCTGTGCAATTTACAGTGTGTAATATAAAAAAATACTTTATTCCGTATACATTCCTTTAAAACTTGACGTAAAAAAAACAAAATTCTTGTTCTTGGCCCCAAAAACCTTAGAGACTCACTGTCTAAAGATATAGTTACTCTAGATGGCATTACCTTGGCCTCTAGCACCACTGTCAGGAATCTTGGAGTTATCTTTGATCAGGATTTGTCATTTAACTCCCACATAAAGCAGACCTCTAGGACTGCCTTCTTTCATTTACGTAATATTACAAAAATTAGACACATACTATCACAGACAGATGCAGAAAAACTAATCCATGCATTTGTTACTTCAAGGCTGGATTACTGCAACTCTTTATTATCAGGCTGCCCCAATAAGTCCATTAAAACGCTCCAATTAATTCAGAACGCTGCAGCACGAGTACTGACAGGAACTAGAAAAAGAGATCACATCTCTCCTGTACTAGCTTCTCTGCACTGGCTCCCTGTAAAATGTAGAATAGAATTTAAAATCCTCCTCCTCACCTATAAAGCTCTTCATGGTCAGGCCCCTTCATGTCTTAAAGAGCTCATAGTACCCTATTACCCCTCTAGAACACTACGTTCTCTGAATGCTGGGCTACTTGTGGTTCCTATAGTCTCTAAAAGTAGAACAGGAGCCAGAGCCTTCAGTTACCAAGCTCCTCTCCTGTGGAACCAGCTTCCAGTTGTGGTTCGGGAGGCAGACACCCTCTCCACATTTAAGAGTAGGCTTAAGACGTTCCTCTTTGATAAAGCTTATAGTTAGGGCTGGCTCTCTCTCTGTGTCCCTCTCTCTGTCTCTGTCTCTGTCTCTCACCCCAACTGGTCGAGGCAGATTGCCGACCACCTAGAGCCGGGGTCTGTCCGCTCACTGATGTGGTGTTTCAACCGTACCAGGACCCCAGTAAAGAATATTGGGCATGTTTCAAGACTTATTCAAGGATTCAAGGTTATTTGTCACTTACAATGCAGGGTTGTATAATGAGAGTCAGATTTCAGTTCCCTTTATGCTACTTGTAAAACAAAAAATACATGTATACAAAAATGATTTAGGCCACAGAAATCATAAATATATGTAGTATGAATTGAATCTGTCTTTAAGTCTGGAGGAAGCTTCTGTACCTCTTCCCAGAATGCAGCAGGGTGAACAGGCTGGGGTGGGTGCTGTCTTTTAGTATCCTTTGGGCTCACCTCACCAATATCACTGATGCTGGGTAGCTGATGACTTATTAATGAAGGCATGCAGACTTGTTGCAGTTCTGTGATGTATCAGGAGGTGGCAGCAGGTGGACAACTGCTCATAAAATATCCCATCAGTCAGTGGGGTACTGACAGTAAGTGATGTGGAGAGCAGATATATGGTGTCAAATGCTGTCAAAAAAAATACACATTAATTTACATTCATTTTAAAAATAACTTGTAAACACATATAATTTAATGATCTGATATGGCCACATTTTAGACTCCGTGATAGGCTGAAGTTAAGCGAAAAAGACATGTATTTCCAAAAAGGTGTGAAGATACTAATGACACCTTTAGATATTTCTATTCAATGCTTTACTAATGTGCCACAACAATGTTTCTGAATTCAAATATCTGGCAAACATTAATATATGTGATTAAATCAGCATATATTTCTGCCACCCCTTTAAAGTCTCCATACCACCCTCTGAACACCCAATGAATGTTTCTCTAGTCAGGAGGAGGGGGGTGTGGGCAGGCAAACTCATTTGCACTAATGAGAATTCACATTTAAGAATTCAAATGAAACTGAACGCAAACTTAGGTGCTTTTGAAAGTTGATATTCACATTTTTCAGAATAATTATACTCACGTGTGCATTGTACAGCCCCCCATTCCCCAATAAATTAATTCAACGAAAATAATTTACCACCAGAATGTTATATGTTTGGCAGTAGGGAGAAGGTCATGAAACAGTATTCAGACCAGCCAATTTTACTTGAATATTTGGATTATAATGATATTCAATGCTGATGCAGTTTACTTGAATTGTTTATGTCACGTAACTAAAGCTCTCTGTGTGGGAATTCTTCTGACTTAATTGTGATTTGCTTATTCAGGCCCTCTGGTGGTTGCAGGGCCCTAAATTAGCCTCGAGCCACAGTTGTATTTTCTGCTGGGTTGAGTTTATTTTGCAAAGTAATTCATATTTCTTTACTTCACCACAATTGGTTCCACTCCTATACTCCCAAAGTCATTGCAAACATTCAGGGCCTGAACAAAAACAACCAATCAGAACTGAGAAAGATAGAAAGGATGCCTTGGGTTGGTGGCTTGATGAAATGGCGTTAGATGGTAGCGCCTGTATCTGGGATATTTTGGCTGCAATTTGTACAGTGGGAGGAAGTGGAGACAAGATGTCAATATTTTATATGTCAATGCTACTAACCAAGACAATAAGTGTAGCTTACAGGTAAGAATGCTACTCGTAGCTGCCCTCTGGTGGTCTGGAGTAGTAATAACTAGGCAAATTAGCAGAATCTAGTGTTGTAGTTACAGATCATAACTCCCTTGTTTCACCTTCTTCTTCCAAGTGCAAAGGAAAAACTAGGGTGGCTGCAAAAAGCCCCTATGTAGAGCTTGTAGTGTTTTCTCTTCTGGGGTACTGTGGAAACATGGTGGATCAACATGGCGGACTCATGAAAACATACCTATGAAAATGTTTTTCAATTTCTGCCAATAGATCCTCCTAAATGTTACACACACAAAAATTGCTTTGCCTAGTAACTTATTACTTTTATATGCAGTAATGGTAAAGTAATTAAATTACTATGAAAGAAGTATTTGTAACTGATTACTATTTTTAAGTAATTTGCACAACACTGGTCAGGATATAGGGAAAGTTTTAGCAAGTATAACAAAACGTTATTTTTATAACTTGTGTTGGTATGAAATATGAAGTGTTCACTTACATTCAGGATGGAGCAGTCATACTGCTGGCTCTGACTGAGACGATGTTGGTGTAGTGTTGAGTAAAACATATCTGAGCTGTTCATATTCTTCATGATCATCATGAGATGATGACACATTTACATAACGCACAGAGTGGATCTCACTGTAGCCCCCACCCCCACCCTGTGTGTTTCACTCCGTCTCCATTCAGACTAAGTGGATGAATTTTCATGGTGTCAAGCAGTGGAACAACCAGTGGCCAAGTCAGAGCTACTGTAGCTCATAATGTAACTGAGCTCCGACAGTGTTTCTGCCAGGACTTCTGAAGCCATACAATCTGTGATGTGATGACGGATCATTCTGATATTTGTCCTTAAGGGTTTTATTATGTTCACTTTATAACTTTGCTACAGAGTTAACTGTATAGGATAGTATAGTAAATCTGACATGAAATGAGGCACCCTGCAACCAGAGCCCAACCTGGGGACGTAGTAGTCAGACTTTTTAAGCTCTTGGTAAACCACGGAAAAAGATTTTTAAGTAGAGTATGTTTTTCTTGTGCTGTAAAAAAGCATTTTCCCCATCAATGTAAATTTAAAAAAGCTGAATAAACACACTGCTCTTGTCAGCCACAAAGCGGCACTGCAACACCCACTTTCTCACCTCAGCCATTTTACAAAGAATAACAAAATATTTAATTAACTAAAACAAAGAAGAACATTGTTTCTCTACCATCAGCCTCCATGTCGGACTATCAGCAGCCTCCTCCTCAATGAACAAGTACTGGGTGTGTTTCCCAGCAAAGAGCAGATGTTGCCCAGAACCTCAACCATGCACTTCATCTGCAGAAAAACAACCATCTGATAGTCTCAGTCCACAGGGAAGAGGTTTTTCCCAAATACATCATTGCAAAGGTCAGAATAATTTTCACATAGTTATAGACACAAAATCCCCTTGACTCACCGGTTACCAACCTGGGGGTCACCAAAGCTTCACAAGGTCTTCTTCATTTTAAGGTGTGTAAGAAAACTTTTAAAAAATCTAATCGTTGAAGAGCTGATAGACTAATAGAACAATGAGGAAAGCATTCGATTTGTCAAAAAAGAAGCATTACAAGTATGATGATGTATGATGTATGCATGATGGTTAAAAAAAACAAAATACAGAGAATTGCATAAAAAGTTCCTAAAAATATCAGGAAAACACAGGAGTTTACATCCACAGGAGTTTACATCCACAGGAAATGCTCAAAATTCCTCCAAATGGTTTGTTTTACACAAACATCCTGCAGTTATTGTGTTCACTGTACAGTTGATCTTACTTACTACTCAATGACAGAAATGGGGTCCCTTGAGGAAAAAGGTTAAGAAACACTGACTTACTGTATCATCATTAAACAGTCTGCAGTTAGTACAGTATGGTTTTGGAGTGAAGTCAAACGACCTCACAGCAATTCATCCATCCCCTTTCCAAAACTTCTCAGGGTCTGGGTTACAGGAAGGCCAGATCTCGTCCTCCCCCAGGTTCACTAGCTCCTCCCAGGGGACCTTAAACTGTCCCCAGGATGGATGGGACATCTTTGCAGCATAGTGTCTGTCCTGGTGTCTCCTCTCAGCCGGGGTTACCAAGAATACCTCCGCAAGGTGGCGTTGAGAAGGAACCTGGATCAGATGGTGAACCGCAACAACTAACGATGGAATTAGTGATTTTCACTCATGCAGCTTATAAAGATGAAACTGATATTTCAGTCAAGGTCTTTGTGAAGCTACTACAGTAAATATGATCCTGATTCACTACAACTGAACTGATTTTAATTATTAATCCAACAAACTGTTTTTCTTCCAGTAGTTCTATCTACCAGCAGCACACAATTTTCCTCCTATAGATATTTAGCTGCCTCATCTTGGAGTATGCATCCTATGGAGGCCCATTTCTGCCAAAGCGGTGGGGAAAAAAAGATTTTCAAAGTAATGAGAAACGTTCTCAATATTTTGATTTAGTATCTTAAAATAATGACTTAGTATCACAAAGTCATTATTTTTGAGACACAAGCCATGAAAGATTGTCTCATTCCTAGGGCACCAAATACAGGCGCTTTTGGACCCTGGAAATGAGACTCAACAATCAACGATCTTCCTAAGCATCTTTTTTTTCCCCCTTTTTTGGCTCTGATTGGTTGTTTTCATTCAAAGTTGTTTTTATAAATGTTACCTATTGCCTATTTTATGTCATACTAGCCAAAAAAGTACAAAGAATATGAAGGAAAATTTGTATTGGTTCCATGTTGCTTTGATTTTGTAGTTGTTACAGCATGATCAATACAATTTCTTTCCAAAAACACATTTAAAAGACACAGATCATTTTAATGCCTAAGATTCAGCTTATTGGATTATAGACTTTTTAAAGACCCCAAGGGCACCCTGTTTCCCATGATGACGGTCATGAAGGCTTGAACTAGAGTTGTTCCAGTATTGGATATTCCTCTGATACTGCCTAAACTGTGATATCAGGTATCGGCCAGTATGTGCGTCTGTGCGTCTGTGCATCTGTGCATCAATCAGATACCATGTCATTTATCAGGACCCCGCTACTTCCCAGTAGTGTCCTGTTCTCCATTTGTTCCCCAGGAGAGTGTCAAGACCTGCCTTACTCTGACTGTGAGGGTCAGAGTAAAGCTTTAACCTTAGCCAGGCCATACAACAATGATTGGTACATGGTATCGGCTAACACTCAAAGTTGAAGTATTGGAATTGGTATCATGAAGGAAAAAATGGTATTGGAACATCTCTAGTTAGAACATAACTTGCAAACTAACAGATCAGAGACCAGCCAAGATTTCAGTACCCTGAAAACAGGATGAAACTCAGATTTACTGGTTTACAAAGTACACAAAATTCCTTCCATATCCATATACCATTTATAGAATGCCTTCCATATTTGTGCATCATAATGCAGCTTTAACATTAAGACTCAACATCAACAGTACATGCATTATTAAATAAACAAAAAAAAAAAAAAACACATTGGTATTAGAACATATAAAATTGCATAACTCATCCTACCAGCATTAAATTTTTTAATAAAAAACAATTATGACTAAGAAGAGGTTAGACAAGCAGTAAACAGAGAGGGGAAAGGGGGTGCTTATGTTATTCCTACCCACTTTTAAAATAAAATTCAACAATTTATTTTTACTTTTCAGATGAAAACCAAAGTCATGCTTTGTTTTCTGAACACAATGTGTGTTGTCTGCGCACAGACTGACACACAGCGGAGTGCATAAAGAAAGTAACGGGAAAAAAAGGGGGAGGCGAGGGGGGGTCTTGTCATATACATCAGAACAACACTGTGGTCCCACACACTGAAACAATAACACCACCCTGAGCCAAAATATAAGGACAGCTCCAATTCAGAAATACATTAACAAAATGCATAGAAAAGTCTGCATCCAAATCCTCGGATTGGAATCGTAGGTTAACAAATGAGAGTCAGCAGGGAGAGGACATGGGGGAAATAAACACAACCTAAGTATGTACATCCAAACAACAGTAGAGCACTATTATTACATTGTTTTGTTGCTTTTTTTTTTCTTCCCTCTGATCCGAGCTCAAGTTTGTTGGTATGTTTGTGCTGAGGTAACACTTCTCCAGCAGAGGATGCTTCCGTCTTTACTTGTGTTCCAGTCGCAGGAGCTGCTCCTTACCGTTAATGGTTAATGACCGCAGCTGCCCGTCCTCCTCCACCTCCACCCGCTCCTGACCGTTCTCCACGATTCTGGTGGGAGAGGGGGTGAGGAAGATGAGAGAAAGGACAAATATACGAACTAAAAATGCTCTTGAGTTCTAAAGAAGTGGAAACTGTGAATTGAGGAATACCCTCTGAGTATGAAGATAATATAGTCTCCAAAGTCAAGCAAGGATCAAAACTTAATTTTTTTTACCAACAATAAAAAACAGCCAGCCCTACTTCTTCCACTGACCAAGCTAAGTTAGCTGTTGGGTGCTAATCAAAGTTACACAACGTTGCCAAGCAAATGAGTTCCTGCAATTGAACCATTTCTGTTGTGGCTCTATCGTTAGCTTCAAGCTGACACAGCCTGCATTTCTTCCTCAACACCAACTGGTGCTGCACGAACTGTTCAAAAAATCAGATTGTGATTGTGAGTAATCATTTTTGCATCACAATGTTTGTTTGTAGTTTATACTTAACGAACATGTTTTGTAGGCCAAGGCAATGGTGTTTGTCACACAGTTTACCTTCATAAAAATTTAATTAATTCAATTAAATTAGACCATATTGTGACTCCAATAACATTTAAAATTAAAAGCTGCAAGCAGCGTTGGGCGGGACCTCGCACTCCACGCAACTCGGGGCGTGCTGCGGCCGCGTTGCGTGCCGTCGTAACACGTGTGGACCACAACATGAAAATCTGCCGTTAATCAGCTCAAAATCGCCACGCAACGCTTACTTCCTGTTGCCGGTAGGTGGCGCTATCACGATGTCTTAATATTGTCATGTAGACAAGTTCAGGGCAGGACTGTTGTAACACATGTGAAGTTTCATTGAGATTGGACCACGTACGCTGAAGTTATGAGGACGTGTTCAGGGCGAGACTGTTACAGAATATATGAAGTTTATTGGAGATTGGACGATGCACACTGAAGTTATGAGTGCTGTTTTATGGCGAATCCGCTGAATTCGACAAGTTGTCACCGGCACGGTCATTTCACGTAACTCAGCTCAAATTCGCCACGCAGCGCTTACTTCCTGTTGCCAATAGGTGCGCCACCTATCACTATGTCTGAATATTATCATGTACACGTGTTCAGGGCAGGACTGTTATCAAACATTTGAAGTGTGGAGGCGATCGGACAATGTACACTCAAGTTATAGCGAATTTGTGTTTTGTGGCGGTCCATCAAAATTTCGAAATTCAACGCAACGCCACGGGCACGCCGTTTGACGGAATGTCGTAAATAGCACAACTTTTAATCATGTCTTTAGATTGCGCTGATTAAATTTGAAGTTGATCCGATAAATTCCCTAGGAGGAGTTCGTTCAAATACAAGGCGAAAAATCACAGAAAATGAGAACGGAATTCAAAATGGCTGAGTTTGATGCCAAGCCACGGACACGCCGTTTGACGGAATGTCGTAAATAGCACAACTTTTAATCATGAATGCCTTTAGATTGCGCTGATTAATTTTGAAGTAGATCCTATAAATTCCCTAGGAGGCGTTCGTTCAAATACAACGCAAAAACTTACAGAAAATGACCAAAAACATCTAAATGGCTGACTTTGATGCCACGCCACGGACTCGCCCTTCAACGTACATGCACAAATAGCACAACTTTTAATCAGGACCATTTTTTGAGTGTACTCACAAATTTTTAAGCATATCCGATAAATTCCCTAGGAGGAGTTCGTTCAAATAAAATGCAAAAAGTTCGCAGAAAGTGAAACTTTAAATCAAAATGGCCGACTTCCTGTGGGGTTTCGGGTATGGGTCCAAGAGGCTTTTTTGTACGTCCCGGCATGTTACACGTGCCTACCGAGTTTCGTACATATCGGTGAAACGTGGCGCCAGGGCTGCTGTTTTTTTATCCTGTAGGGGGCGCTACACACACGGCAAACACGATTTTTGGTATGTGAGCTTCAGGCACTACTCTACACGTGCCCTGTGAATTTCATATTAATAACTATTACGGTCTCCGCACAGTGATTTTTCATGCCAAAAGAGCGCCACCTAGTGGCGTATTTTTTTTGTCCTTTTTAAGTGAGCCTCAGGGAGCCATGGGGAAGCATCGTACCAAGTTTCATCTTAATCACACATACCGTTGTAGAGATATAAACTTCTTCATTTTAAAGAGCGCCACCTAGTGGTGATGGCCTTAAATTGTGCACGATGCTTAAGGAAGACATCTGGAACTATGCACCGAAGTTTGGTGTCAATTGGGCATACCAATGTGGAGAAATGGTCCACTTCCTTTTTTGACGAAAAATCCACAGGAAGTGCTAATTTTATTTGAAATACCAAATTCTTTGAATTACTTTTTTTTATGAGGGTCCTCAGATGCCATGTGAAAAATTTTGTGCGAATCGGACAAAGCGCATGGCAGGAACACAAAAAAGTAATTTAAGGACATTTTGTGCTCTAGAAAAAAAATTCTAGGCGAAAGTAGGCGGGGCTTACATTGTAAGATTCAGCTCTATTCACCGAACGCGTAGATACAAGGTTTTTGAATGTGCGACAAACTATGCAGAAGTTATTAGCCTAAACGCATTTTTTATGATAGTAGTGCCACCTAGTGGCCAACCCGAAAGCGACACATAGAATATCAAATTTTTCACCAGGCCTGACAACTTTGCCAAATAAAATTGACTTTTCGTATATGTTCAGGGGGGCAAAATCAGAGTCAAAGGCGCTAAAAATAATAAGAAACATAGCAAATACAATAGGGACCTTGCCGGTCGCTGGCTCGGTCCCTAATAAATAGTGCAACCCTAACACCAACTACATCACTGTGCGTGTCAAATGACAGCGGAAGAAGAACAGATTTTGCTGCTATTTCTAGGTCAATATAGCACACACATCACCATCAACACTGACTGGACATCCACATAAGAAATGTTGCCTTTAAAACTGGTTCATTGTTGTATTTGTGCATAATGAACCACAACCTGTAGTCTTTACATTAGTGTGACAGCCTTCCATTCAGAATACTATTAGTAATAGCTATTGTCAAAAGACGACATTCCTAACATTCCACGACCTAGTGTTTCAAATTTGTGTAGACGAACTGTTCCCTTCAGTTTTAATCTGAAACGCTGCTGAACAAAGAGGTTTCACTAATAACAGAGGATCTGTTGGATATATAACAAAATGCCTGTAAAATATAACCGTATTAGTTAAATGTACGGACCAAGGAGCTGGAAAATCCAAGGGTCTGGGAAAAGCTGCTTTCTATTGATTTTTTCGATCAATCAATAAGCTAGTTTCCAGTTTGGTTTGTGTTTCAGCAACACTGGATAGATTTTTTATAGAACTGTCAGCAGAGGGCCAGTGAGATTGTCTATCTACTAGAGCGCTGTCACCTTTACAAAGCTTGGATTTTCATTTCCAGTGAGGTGTGTACGACAGCTAAGGATAAATAAAATGTTATCATGCCAATCACTGCAATGTATAAAAACATATAAAGCCAAAGAGACCTCCATTAGTTTCTAATAGGGTATGAGAAATGATCAATTAAAATAATCACATTATCACAAACACTATTATTTTTGTGTTTTATTGTGTTTTCTCATTACCAGTTCGTTAAATATCAATGCTGGGAATGACGACTCAGCTTTCCTCAAGCCACCAACCCAAAGCACCTTTCTAGCTTTCTTGGCTCTGATTGGTTGTTTTCATCTGTGAATTCTTTTAAATGCCATTAGGAGCACTAGGAGGAGCCAGGGGAACCAGATTTTGTCTCATAAACTACTGTCAGGATATAGTGAAAGTTTCAGCAAATATGACAAAAAGTTAGTTTTATAAGTTACCTCCTGCAGCTTTAAACCCCAACCACTAAAAAGCAATGTTGTAAATGTAAATTGAGAGCTACGATGTTAGATGTAACAGGGACTCTGATAAAAACAAATGCAGTTCAGTTGTGGTTACATAAAAAAGTTAACTTTGTACCTCAGATTGTTTGCATATGGTGGTGTGTTCTTTATAATAATTATAGATTAAAAAAACTGCAATATATTGCTATGTTTAGAGTATCAAAGTATATAATCTAATATATTGAACCGTAACCCCTGTATCGTTATATGTATCGTTTCACCAGATCCAACAGCAGTCTGTCATGGCAGATGCCCGTCACTGTAATGTCCCAGTTTGAGTATCTACCTTTTAGTAGTGATCTTCCTGCCGTTGATGATCTTGGTGGAAGTGGATACGGAGCGGAAGTTGCCAATGCCTCCTCCTCCCCCTCCTCCTCCTCCTCCCCCAAAGGAGGTGGAGGAGAAAGAGGTGAAGCCCCCACCTCCCAGACTGCCCATGGTTGTCATGTGACCCATGTGACCCATGGGGCTCATGGGGCCAAAAGAGCCAAAGCCTGAGATAAACAGTAGGGACAGAGAGAGTATCATTTAATATTGTGTGTAATCTGTTTTTGTGCTTTACAAGGGAACAGGTTTTGGTGTTTTACCTGGGTCAAAAGGTGAGAAGCCAGCCCCAAAGGGAGGAAAACCAACAAAGCCCCCGTAAAACGAGCCACCTGTCCGGCTGCGATTTGCCCGACTTTGGTGCCGTCGGCCAAAGAATGGATCATCACTAAATGGATCTGTACCTGAGAGAACAGGACAGAAAACAAAATAATGAGTATTCAAGTAAATCCACAGTGGAGCAGGAAATGCTTCAGGCTCAAACTTTTGACAAAAAAATCCAAAAGCAGTGGTAGACACACTGAAGTAGCACGACTTACCAAAAAAGTCTGCAAATGGGTCTCTGCCACCGAAGAATTCCCGGAACACATCTTCTGGGTTGCGGAATGTGAACGGTTCGTGGAAATGGTCTCCGTTGTGGAAATGGCCCCCTGAAACATCATGTTAGTGTTGTCAACAGTGTAAATCTGGACCCAAACTGAATGTATACAATATTCCATACTGCTGAGTCACCAGTCCAGTCATCTTCTCCATCTGTTCCATTCAACAATTCAAACTACGGTTCTGCTGAATCACCCAGCAAAAAGCTATTCCTGACCATTTACAGGGCACGAACTTATAGATCCGGTGCAATATTGATGTAATGCCCCTTAGAAAATTAACTACCCACATGGCCGGTTTGCCCTGGTCTGAACTGGCCGTTGTGCCCCTAAATTTTTCAGAATTTTGTATTTGTGTAAGTGGCCTTACCTTAAAAATGACTTAATTCCAGGCCTGATCGAGGTGATTACACACTAATGAAAACATACCCATGAATATTATATTCTATGTCTGACAACAGATCCATTTAGAAATTAAATGTTACACACTGAAGCTTTAATAGGCTTCTTTTTTGACAAATTCAGGGTTTCCTTCTCCTTGTTCTATTAGCTCTTTGGTTGTTTTGACATTTCTAATCCGTGCTGAGACTGAAGGCTCTGATTCATTTGGTTTTCATCACATAAATGAATGAAATGCTGAGATATAGGCCAATTGAGAAAAAACACAAAAAACAGCCCATAAGGTGAGGTAGACAATGGCATGGGACCAAAGCCTGACTAATTTTAGGCCCCAAAAGTTAGTCACTTTACAAACAGGTTATGTCTGAATTAAAATCTGTGCTTCCATGGTAACAATCAACAAAACCTGACAACATCGAGACTGAGGACGAAAAGGTGGCTCAGTCTGTTACTGAGGAACAAGCAATGAGCAGTGAAATTTTCTCTGCCATCACTTCATCGCTGACTCGTCCCAATAAAAGGCCCAGGCTTTCTGAATGTCATGTTTGAACAGAGGAAACTGTTTAGGCTACTGGCAAGTTTGGAGCTTTTCTAAAAGGATCACCTACCTCTTCCTCCATTGTTCCCTGTCAGCCCCTCTTTGCCGTAGCGATCATATATGCTCCTCTTGTTGACTGGAAGAGGACAGTGAGAATAACAAGAGTGAGAACACGTCTAACAAGTCAGAAACCAGTGAAGAGTACATGAGATTTTGGTATCGGCTACTGTGCAGTGTTTCACTGCTGTCTGGGGTTTATTTGTAGGCTTGTACTGAGAGTTGGGATACAAACCATCTGAAAGGACTTCATAAGCCTCTGACAGCTCCTTGAACTTCTTTTCAGCCTCATCCTTGTTCTCTGGGTTTTTATCAGGGTGCCACCTCAGGGCAAGCTTTCTGTACCTGTACAAGGACGGAAGATGATGGCTGTTTAATAATAATTCAAGGTAATTACTCAAAGGTCCACGTCTGATTTTTATTCAAGGTCAGCGGTCCGGAGGAATTGGTTAAAACAATATGACATTTAATCACCTACATTTACAACACACTATCTATTTTACTTGTGTTCTAGAGAACACTGTAATTGTCTGTAATTTAGGGCTGTCCCTTAATAGTTGACTAAACCGTAAACCAAAGACTTTGTCCACCCACTTTTCATTAGTCGGATAGTTGCATGAAAACAAAGAAAAACGGGACCTGTGCCTTGTCACCGGGACTTAAGTTTCAGGGGATTGTTGCAACAAAGATTCACAGCGGCTCCTACCAGGATTATGACTCTGGGGCCGACGAAGACATGGCGAGTTTCGGAAAGGGACACAAGGTGTGAAACGGGAGAGGAATGAGTTTAAGTAATCAGGATCAACAGAGGACATATTTAGCAATGAATGAACAGCGAGGATACCAGGAGACAACAAAATATGACTGTTTCATTTCATATATTAAAAGATTGTGTTTATATGGAGGGATTATGTGCCAGATTATTCTGAATATTCAAATCTTTCAAATTTAAGTGTGGAGGTGGGTGTGGTTTACACTCAGCTGCAGGAGAGAGAGAGAGAGAGAGAGAGAGAGAGAGAGAGAGAGAGAGAGAGAGAGAGAGAGGTGTGGGGAAGGAGTTGATGATCTCAGCTGGTACTCATGGAGTCATCACTCTCACCTCTCTTAAGGCAGTAGTGTGCTGGACATGGAGGCCGACGCACAACAGAAGGGACAAGCGGAAGAAGGCTTCATGGACTTTTGAAGTGGGCTAAGTTGTATGAATAGTGTGTGGCAAAGAAATAAAGTTGTCTTGTTCATTAATCCCTGTTGTTGGTCTGTGTGCTGAGAGAACCCTCGGTAGTAGCGAGACTACATTGAGCACATTAAAATGAGGCATTTTCCAAACTTTCAAGACTTTCTATGAACCCTGAGGAGGTTAAAAACAAAACGTCCAAGGAGGTCTTGCATAACATCCAGAGTTTCAGAACCTAATTCCTGCTAATAAATTAAATGATCAAATTCAAACAAACAATAAAAACAGCTGCAACTAAAAAGACAGTGAACACAGGAAACGTCACTGTTTCACTCTCACCACTCTTCCCTTGCATGCTCTGTTAACTTCTCCTAAATTTCACACTCTTAAATCTTGAGCTTCACATTGATTTCTCCATTAGTGTGAGCTCACTCAGTTGTTCTGTTGTTAATGAAGCTCCATAAAAAGGTGACCAGCTAATAGGGAGTTACTCATTAGCTGTATGGCTGGCAGCCACAGCTTTTGGGGGACAACTAAGTGATGTAGCATTGCCGTGCAGACGTCTGCTGAGCTGTTTCAGAGCATTGCAGCTGAGATATAAAACTTCATCAACTCACGCCTTCTTTATGTCATCTGCAGACGCATCTCTCCGTACTCCTAAAATCTGGTAGTACTCCACCATGATGAGTGGATGAAGAGAGGAACTTCAGCAAGCTTGATGAACCTGAAAGGACAAAGAGACTAATGTGACATAGAATTATATCTGTCAGCAAACCCCAGCACAGCAATGATGTGACTGTCAGTACTATGAGCCACTCCGCTTAGAGTCCTGCATTAAACAGTCAAACCGTTTTAAGCAACACTTTTTGCTTGTGACCTTTTTCTAGCTAACCATTGTCTACTTGTGCCCACTTTATCACACATTACTTTTTTTAAGCTGCAGGAGGTCATTCTCATTAAAATAATCTATTGTCATATTTGCTGAAACTTAAAAACTGAAAAAATCTGGTTCCTCTGGCTCCTCCTAATAGTATTTGAAAGAATCCACCGGGCCTGAACCAAAACAACCAATCAGAGCTGAAAAAGATAGTTGATTGTTGAGTCTCATTCACAGGCTGTCGAATACAGACGCTGGAAATGAGGCTCAACAGTCAACTTTCTTCAAGCCAAGCATATTTCTTGGTTCTTATTGGTTGTTTTTGTTCGGGACCAGTGGATTCTTGCCAATGCCGTTAGAGGCACTAGGAAGAAAATTATATTTGTATAAAGGTTACCTACTGCGGTTCAAGACCATTCAGAATGCAATTTAAAACCTTTCCATGTGCATAGACAGAAATACACATGGTTATGTGTTTAACAAAGGGTCCTCTGTAGCTACTGGTATACAACAGAGCCTCTGGTACACTGAGTCAGTTTGAACTGGTCTAAAGCAGAAGCTTAAGGAAGACTACAGTAGACAATGAAGAGATTCAAGAAGCAAATTAGCCATTTTGACGGCTGGGTCAGTGTCCTAAAATCCTCCTGAATTCTTTGGTAGAGGTGCTGTGACTTTTATCATTTTATCAATCACTATTACTTTACTTTAGGACTGAAAAAAAATGGACACATTGTCTTTTGTGTGTCAGTCATTGTATATAAACCATTATTTTTCATTTCAAAATGTTCACTACTGCACAGTGCTCAAATCTCTCAATGATAACATACTATTTATGGATTCTTAAATTCCATGGAGCCCCATTCACTCCCTTTGTATATACTGTATATCAGAGATGCAACAAATAGTTGAATAGTCGTCAACTATTAAATGAATTGCTCATTCTCAAATGTGAATATGTTCTGCTTTCTTTAGTCCTCTAGGACAGTAAAGTGAATATCTTTGGGTTGTGGATAAAATGAGACATTACAGGACATCACCTTGGGGAACAATGATCTAACAACTAATCGATTATTGAGACAATGATCAGGAGATGAATTGATCATGAAAACAGTGGTACTGTGAAAATGCGCAGTGCTGCACACCTGGACCCAACATAAGCTCATTAAGATGGCAAGTGTATCAACTATTCGGAGATGTAGAGAACATTACAGCTTAAATGCATGACCCGTATGTTTGAGCCCACACCTCCAATACAGCCAGTACTATACATTATGGGGGAGATATTTTTCATATGATAATGTGAATCCCATTCAAACACTGGCAGCAGTCATACATCAATGCTTACAGCGATCACATGTATTTTCTTCTTCTATAATAGTGTTAACAGTACAGCAGCTGTTCTCAGCCAGAATGAGCCACTGGGCTCTCCGTTGCACTGATGCTGCGTACTGACATTATTCAGCTGATAGGAACAGTGGTAGGGCTGCTGGGCATGGACACACAACAACTATGTGTCTGTCTCCTAATTTATGGACTTGACGTGATTTTACATCGCTACAACGCTATAAATAGCATTAGTTTAAAGACATGCAAGACTACTAAAGCAATTAAGATGTCTGCCTTTAACGCCAGCTTTCTAACCCTGACCTCATTACACGCTGTTTCAGCTTTATGGGTGACGCTAGCTTGTTTATCTCTGTGACCCTGAACGGCTGCTGCTACCTGGCTAATATTAATGGATACCAAGAGCCAGGAACGATGGTGCTAACGGGAAAAGCACAGCTTTAAGATGCAGTATGTCCAACACATTTCTAATGAAGATTATAACCTCACACTGAAACTGTTTTGTTTGTGGCGGTAATTTAGCTGCTGCTGCTGTTAGCTGCGAGCCTTAGCGAACCTAACGTAAGCTTGTTAGAGCGGTATCTTAGCTCTGCTTAGCAGTAAACATCATTAGCCATATTAGCCGCAACTGTCGAAAACTCTTACCCAATTCAGCTGTCCGTGGTCTCAGCAGATATATGAAACAGTTACGTTAGAAAGTCCGTTGTTAAGGTTGTGACAGAAGCTAAATGGGTTTATTCATGTTCAGCAGTCTGCAGCTCCACAAATTAGACGCAACATCCTGTTTCTGATTTCTTCATCAGCCTCTTGTTGTTTATTGGCGGTGATTACAGCTCACAGGCGCATTACCGCCACCCACTGGACAAAGCAGGCTGTGGCAAAGGAAAAACATCAGTTCTCACAAGTGAAAGAATAAAATTAGTGGAAAAAAACGAAACCTTCGAAAAATTGATCTTCAAATAATGTTTCTTAACCTGTTTTTAAAGATGAATTAAAAACAATACTTTTAGGTAGTATTGAATATATATAGTACCATATGTTGTTGGTCACTGTTTTTTTTAAATATATATATATATTCATATATACACTTATTTCTCATATTGTGTATATATAGTACCATATGTTGTTGGTCACTGTTTTTGAATACATATATTTATATATACACTTATATCTCAACTATGTGTATGTACATTATTAGTTCAATGCCTATTTTGACCTATCTTTGCCCAGCTTTGTTGTTCTTGTTTTTAGCTGGATGTCCATCTTCCTGTAAGTTGACCAACTGGAGTCACATTCCTTGTATGTCAACACGTACTTGGCCAATAAAGGTGATTCTGACTATTACAGCATTCTATAAAACAGTCCAAAATTAAAGGCCTCTCTATTGATTTACTCATTGCTGATGGAGGATGCCCTGCCACTCCTCAGTCCCAGACAGTTCTAACTGACAGCTCCCAGCCTGCATCCCTGGCTGTCCCAGGCCACATCTGAATGTAGACTGATAGGAATCTATTGGAAATAATGGAATTAGTTTCAATTAACTGATACAATGAATTACACTTATGAATGTTCTGTGATGTTGTATGTATAGACCACATAATCTGCATTTACAGATACAGAGCATCTACTTTAAAAACTCATTCTTCATAATTTCATCATTATTTGCATAATGTATGGCATCTGCAGGTCGAGGCAGACGACCACCCACCTAGCGCCGAAGGATCTGTCCTAGGTTTCTGCCTTTTAACAGGCAGTTTTTCCTTGCCCTTGTCGCCAAGGTCTTGCTCATGGTGGTACTGTTGGGTCTCTGTAAATAATGCTATAAAGAGTTCGGTCTAGACCTGCTCTATTTGAAAAGTGTCCTGAGATAACTTCTGTTATGAATTGGCGCTATACAAATAAAATTGAATTGAATTGCACTGATTTCATTTTTCTCATTGCTATATGTTAACTCTGTTTTGATGACAGTCATAGCCAATAAAAGAATGCAACAATGAAAATGAAAATTCACTGATAAACATGCACAATGTGTTGCTCTTATAGACTTGATGTATTATGTATAACATATTTGGATACCCATGTTTTCATTTTGTGTGCTGCACAGTAGAAGTAGAGCAATTTGTGTTTGTTGTCTGGTGTGAAAATTAATAATTCACCTAAGCTGAACAGACTACTATTTTAGCTAAATTCAATTAATTAAAACTTCAATCCAACATAGCAGCACACCTTTATCAATGATTTCTTTGTCTTTTTGATCTATCCTACATGGTAACATACTGTACTTCCTGTTGTACTTAACAACTTTATGGTATTTTCTCATGTGAAAATCAGGACCCTATATTAGTGCCTGCTTGAGTTCTTCAGTAATGCATCCAACTAGATTGTATTGCATTTTTGTTTGCTAACTCTAATTCATAGCATCAACAAATAAAGAGGAATTTGTGAACTGTGACAACTGCACACAAGCCGAAGTACGGTAGTGGTGGAGAAGCAGCAGGATGAGGAGAAAAATAGGTAAAAGAAGGGTGAGGATGAAGAGGAGGAGGAGTAGAAGAAAAAGAAGGGGCCCAAATGCTGTGAAGCTTCCACCTCTAAATAGCAGTCACACCATAGTCCATTTTTTACAGCTAGGATTTTATTATTTTTTTGAAGCAGAGATGTGATCAGGATAACAATAAAAACAGCAAATTAAGGGTGTGGACAGTAGAACACTGCCCACTGCATTAAACATTCAAAGAATTTAGTGCCTGGAAAAATAGGTTGGCTGATGTTATTGTGTCTGAAGGTGCTGAAGGTGGAAATGGTGTTATGGTGATCAGCTTTATTTGAGCAGCTTTGCAGTTGCCATGGAGGTCATGGTAGTCATGGTCGTCATGGTGATGGTGGGCACGGTGATGTCTTTAAAGATGGGCTGTGTCACTCCAGAGTAGGACACCTTGTTCTCGCTGAGAGTCCCTATAATCATCTGGCGCATTTCCCTGCTGGCATCGCCGCGCACTGCCAGCAACGCCTGGATGTGCTCCTCTCTACGGAGAGCCAAAAGGACCAAAAAACATTGGAAAGATTAGGCAATGTGGCATCTGCTCACACAGAAAGCACAGTATGTAGTATGTAGTATAACATTTATGAAGGAACTCATCCAAAAAACTTATAATATCAGGTGTGCTGAAAATAATTTTTGATGGCTACATTCTATTTAGGTGAACCAGTTTAGGTTCCTTGGTACTGTGTATGCTGGACCAGCCATTGCTTCAAAGAAATAATGTTAATGACTTAAACAGTCTAGGCCCAGTGGTTGCATGTTAAAAGCCTGTACAGATGATGTCCATCCTCTGCATCACTAACACAGTGCATGAGTACACCTAAACTCATTCAGCCGAGAGGAAGATAAATTGTATTTAAGGGTTTATGTTGCAGCTGGAATTTCTTCTACAGATGTATATGTCAAGATACATAAGTATTTAGTTATTAGTAATAAGGTGTCATGCTGATGCAAGGAAAATAGCTCTCAAAGTGTGTGTGTGTGTGTGTGTGTGTGTGTGTGTGTGTGTGTGTGTGTGTGTGTGTGTGTGTGTGTGTGTGTGTGTGACTGTTGGTACCTAATGTCGGGATATTTGGACACCAGGGTAGTGACCTCCAGGAACAACAGTGTGGGGTCAGTCAGCTTGAACACTTCAGCGATGGCAGCGATGGCACCACAAAGTCGATCTGTGTCTTCACCCTAAATGAAGCGATGAATCAAAGTTAGGCATGATGGCCCTCCAACCTGTTTCACCATGTCAAGCACTGTGTACACAGGAGCTGTTCAGCTACAGTACTGTGTACTATTGGTTGACAGATTTGTTTAAACTCAACCCAGTGTTTCCTCTATGTTGATTTTGGACCGGCAGCCCGCCGCTGTTAAATTTCTGCCGCCACGGTATCAGAAATGGGGCAGAAGCACAATGTAGTCACGGTTTGCCTTTTAAATGATCCTGCCGCAAATGCACCCCCGTTGGCTGCCGCTCACATTGCAACTTAACAACAAGTAGAACTATTCAGAGGGCTGTCCCGTTTAACTCCACATACTGTTGTGTTGATGTAGCTTATTGTCAAAACGTTCGCTTTCTTCCAAGTCGACTATTAAACTAACAGCTCCACCAAAAACGTCACAGCGGTGGGTCCATTTTAATTGGACAACTTCGGACGGGCCTGCCACCGGTGCTAAAAAAAATCCTAGAGGAAACACTGCAACAGTAGGTAATTGACGCTTTCTAAGTCTCACCCCTTTTTGCTCTGTGCTCATCAGAACTTCCTCCTTTCCTGTACTAAGATATGCTATGTGCTAGGCTCGCTATGTTGAAAAGACAACCAACATTTGAAGATTGTAAAGAGATAACAAACGGCATTTGAGCGTTTGTATTTCCTACTGATTTCACGGACTCATTTTATATTCAAGGGTTTATGGAGCAGATTTTTTTTTCGTTTTGTGTGTATTGCTTTCATCTTTTAACCTTTTTCAAATGAGGTTGTCTTTTCAGCAATAGACAAGCCTAGCACATTGCATATCTAGTACAGGAGAAGAGAGAGTTGAAGGTTCTGACCCAGGTTTAGTCAACTGTTATTGGAGCACAGAGCAAAAAGAGGTGGGACCTAGGAAGGGTTAATTGTTGGTTACAACTGGAAATGAATACTTTTGTAGTACAGGGGAGGCATTATATGTGAACTCACAGCAGCCAGTTTCCTGAAGAGGAACTTGAACTGATCCGCCTCTTTGATCATTCTCTCTGCTCCCTCCCTCCTCTCATCAGCATTTTTAAAGGTGATCCTCTTCTGCATCACTGCTTTAATGTACTCCACCACCACCCTGCGCAGGGCCTCGCTCGTCATCTCCTGCACACAGCACAGCCAACCAGCCATGTCACAAGATCATCTTAACAGAAAAATGGCACTCACAGGGTTCAAAGCTCTCCCACAGCTATAGAACTGTGAGAATATGACACATGTTCCACATATTTTTCATATTCTCATCTAAGACCAGTCAGTTCCACCTGACCCCATGACATTAAGTTTCATAGGAATTCATTAAGAATTTTTGGGGATACCCTGTTAAGAGCACTGCTCCGATCCTACCTGATTGAATGGTTTCTTGATCTTGTTGAAGTCATTGAAGTAGTCCTCCACTGTTACACAGATGGTGTCCACAGCATGAGAACCTGTCAGCCACTTCCTGGTCAGCAGCTCGTTCAGGTGATGCTGGTCAATATAAGGTCAAAATCTAAGCAATTAAATGTATTGGAGCAGCAGTAGAATTTCCTTATGTGTTAGTGTAGTTGAAGATGTTTTGGTCCAAACAAAATACAAATTGCTTAGCATACAAACACACAAGACTTTGCTATGAATACAACAAAGAGCATTTAAATATACGATAAATACAGTTGAGTCCAATATCAACCCTTCTTACTTCGAGGTCTAGGAAAACTTCATCCAATAGGAACTGACATCCCTCCTTGGCCACCTCGTTGAGGGTCCTCTCTATGGCAGCGTCACTGTCAGTGGGCTCTGAGGACTGGGAGTACTTCCTCTTCAGACTGTTGATAGACTCTCTGAGGAATGCATGGGATAACTTTGATGTATTGGAATATGGAAGCCCAATGTGTTCAAAATTAAATAATATTATTATAGATTAAAATTGTATTTTTACATATACATATTTCTATGAGCATTGTTGGTAAAGTCAGTTACAAACTTTTTTCTTTTTGTGACTTTTAGACAGAGGAATGAGAGGATTACCTCATCAATTTGTCTGAGGAACAGCTGTTTGTATGACACAGGCAAGAGTGAACCTTCTGTGATGTCACCATTGGGTTTCTTGGTTATTATGGCCGTTCCTATGTTGGTTTTTGGGACCTTAGTTACTAAATGAACATCATGCTTTATGAAAGAAGACTTGAAACTAGAGACTGAGACCATAAACTCATTCACAAACTGTTTACTTAGCTAATAAATTAAGTCAGTCAGTACGGGCTATTTTCACATAAGACTCCATACATTCAGCCTTATTTTTGAAACCAGTTGAGTTGCCCCCTGCTGGCCATAGAAAGAAGGCCCTGGCTTCACTTTTAGACCCAGAAGCTGTGTCCACTATTTACTATCTAAGTCTATGCACACATGCTTGAACAGATACTGTTATAAAAATGGATATTCCACTGAAGCACCAATGGAAAGATCCAAATTCTCCACTCTCGTTATTTTAGGTTTTCAAAAATTTCATTCATATACGATGCTAAAAATTATATCCAGCTCCAAAAAAGGCTGAGAAGCCAGCAGAAGTATTGAGAGAAAAAGACGTATTGAGAGTTGTTGCTATGGAGATAGACGAGATAATGGAGATTGGTGTAAACTGGCAGGTTTCCAGAATGTTGCAGACCGTCTCATTACAAAGCTTTGGTTGTCCTGCCTGTTAAACATTCTGGAATCACTAATCAAGACCCAGTTCTCACAATTTCATCTATTACCCTAGTCCTGAATGTTTTAATGACTGGTTTAGACAATGAGAAACACTGTGCCTCTATACTTATAATTAGGGCTGGGCAAAAAATCATTTTTTTAAAATAATAAATTTAAAAAAAAAAAAAAAATTTTTTTTAAAAAAAAATTTTTTTTTTTAAATTCACAAAAAAACCCCCCCCTTTTTTTCCCCCCACAAAATAAAAAAAAAAAAAAAGGGGGGAAGATAAAAAAAAAAAAAAAAAAAAAAATATTTTTTTTTTTTTAAAAAAAAAAAAAAAATAGTTCCTTTAAAATGTATTTTGTCTGAGCTGGATTTGTCCACCAAACGTTTTAACGCGGGAGGAAAAAAATTTTCCGAAAAAAAAGGCGATAAATCGATTTTATCGACATCTTTTTACCTCTGAAGGCGCTTAGGCTGCTAAGCCCATAGGACCCACGTCTCGGCACTAAATCATCTGATTTATTTTTTAGGTGGGGTTTTTTAAAATTCGGGTAGCGAGGTACGTATCACGTCATGTGATCACTTAGGCCACTAACAATCCTGCCATGGGGCGCTCCCTTATGTTTGGGCTTCCCGATATATTTGGTCAGAGTGCACTGCCACCTCTAGCACTGACCCCTCCCCCCGCCTCTCCACAGATAAACACAACATGGCAGCAAGCCAGGATGAGCTCGTCCCCAAAAAAGGCACAGTGTCGTCGGTTGTTTGGAACTGGTTTGATTTGTGACGTCCGACAGCGAACAAACCACGACCCACTGCAAAGTTTGTTTGAAAGCTGTTGCAACCAAAGGTAGCAGTACGACCAATTTATTCCAGCACCTCAAGCAGAGGCATGCAGCCGAGTGGGAGAAATGTTGCTCTCTGCGAGATAGCAGGACCGCAGCCCACAAACACCCGCTAAAAAAATCGATTAAAATCGGAAATCGGGTTTGGTGTGAAAAAATTTGAGATTTTATTTTTAAACCATATCGCCTAGCCCTACTTATAAGCTTTTGATACAGTCGTTAATTCCTTGCTTGGATGGGATTTATGAGCATGTTATTATTTACTGAGAGTATAAACACTAGTTCATGTATAAAATAAAATCTTACTTGAATGTCTGACAGTTGTTAATGATGGCGATCATGTACTGTACATAACACTGAGGCAGCTGTCTGTCTCTCAGGTGCTCCTCTTTGTAGGCCATGGCCTCCTCTCTGTACCTACACACAAAAACACACATCTGTTAAGCAATTGTTAGAGTAAGCAGTAGTTTGTGTTTTGATAGAAGTCACATTTTTTGGGTAACCTTTCTGACCCAGGTTTTAATACTATGTTGTTTAAGATATCTTTTATTTGGCCTTAAATTTATAAAGATTCTGACATCTTTTTTCATTGAGCTTACGGTGTATATGGTGAAGTAATTCCCATAAAACTAAAGGAGACCTTGAACACATCAGAAAGTAAGTCAAGAGGTATGAAAAAAAGTTACCTGATGAGGAAAGTGTTCATCTGTTTCAGGCAGAGCTTCAGAACTTGCTCTTTGAAATCACCATCAATCTGTGCAGCAACTTGCAGGTTCTGCTCAAACATCTGATGAAGATACATTAAGATCAGGAAGAGAGAGAATGAGTGAGATGAGTATTGTTATCTCCAATAAACAGTTTTCACTGTACATCATTCACATTAGTTTAGACCATAGACCAGTTTCCTTTGATCATCCTTGACACGTCTCCAGCATATGAACAAAGTTATTGTCTTTTAAACTTTAACCTGCATTACCTGTATTTCTTTGGACATTTGGAGCAGCTGTATGTAATGGGATTACTTGTCAGCAGAGAACCAGCTCCTAGGTAGTCACAAGCCACAATGTTGGAGGAGTGCATGGGCAGAAAGTCCATGGTCACTTAAATCTAGAACACCTTTAGGAAAAGTCTCTGTGTCCCTCCTGCTCCTCCTCCTCAGCACCTCCAGCTCACTAAAAAACTTGACTCGTTCTCTGTATCTGCTCGTTCCTGCTCAGGAATATTTCATCAAAAGTATGAAGTGGCCGTGTGTATGTGTTACCTGAAAGACAATGGCAGGCAATGTGGTCTGATAGTATCCGTCTTGGTCAGCCTCAGGCTCTGTTTCTTTCTGCCAGTCCTTCTTGTCTGTTTCCAAGGCCTTCCGCAGCCAGCCTGTAATATTAGACTGAAGACATGGATAATCAAACAGAGCGTCTGGCTCCACACGTAGCTAAGCTTTGTAACATTAACCCTTTTTAAACAGAAATTCCACAAAAGTCATAAAGCTGGTGTTGCTTTTTTACACTGAACCAGACCACGTTGGCATAATGCTGCCCCAGTGTGTGATTTTAGTGGGGCTGACAACTTGTAGTTGGTTGGTCAATGTGCTCTTGTCCAACCAAATTTTAATCGGTTAGACAATCACCGGTGTTACTTCCTTAAGGAGAAAAGGGCTTCTTAATCTGTTATTTTCAGAGGTGGAAAGGACTGGATGCAATTTATTTTTCTGTTATAGGCTATATTGTTGGAAAAACATTGATTATGTTTGTAAATAATATTCAAATGTGTTTTACTCAACAAATACTAATAGTATGGTTCAATAGGCAATAAGACCTATAAGTCAGGAATTTAAAATACCCGTTTTCATAACTTCAATTAGCAATTAGCTTCAATAAGGGCTTAACTTAAGGAACATTTACTCAGCTCCAAAGTAACTGACACAATGTCAAAATAACCAGCAACAATCTGTACATTGGCCCCAGCCTCAGAGGACAGAGCTGAGTGAAAGAACTTTATTTCTGATGACAACGAGTGTGCAATTTACTACAGACTGCTTTCTTAGTGATGGATTAATTATGTGACTCCTGATCAAACGACAAATCGGCATCAAACTTGGAGTTGTTTTGCCTTGTTTTATGGTGTTTAGCCAGCTGAACTTTGCACTAGCATGTTGCTAAATGCCTACACCTCAGACTGGGTGATTTTCGACTAATATTGAGGGAACGTCGAGAGAAACTGTTACAGTAAGTCGAATTTGAAGCCAACTAAATAACGACAGTAGCAGGTTAGATGTCAGTACAGTAGATTATGTGGGGATTCCACAAGCAGGTCCAGATGAAATGAAGGCAGGCATAATGTGTACAAAGCCTCCAGATTAAATAAATTGAATGGGACACCCATTAGTGTCCCTGTTACTGTGTGTGTATGTGTGTGTGTGTGTGTGTGTGTGTGTGTGTGTGTGTGTGTGGTGCTTACTGTAAAAGTCTTGACATATTTGCTGAGCAGGTCGTCTACTACATGCTGAGGCAGCAGAGGCTCCAGCTGGTTTATGTCACACTCTGAGCGCAGCTCTGGATGGCCCATCATCTCCACACTGAAACACACACAAACATGGATTCTATGACTATAAATCAGCTCCATCTGCAGGTCCTTTATGGAACCTGTGAGCTAGTGGTAGCACACTATCTTTTCCTTAAAGCAATATTTAGTCATTTTGGGAAACACGGTTATTCGTGATGTGGACATATAAACTGTTGCATCTGAACAAGTTTTGCTACAGAAAATTCATTTTCCACTATTATTTGAATACGACAATATTCCACATTTTATAAGGGTTGTGTAAACAGCATATTTACACAACAGGAGGTGGAGTGGGTCATCAACTAATCGCAATGTTGGCGGTTCGATCCTTGACTCCTCCTGCTGAATGTCCTTGAGCAAAACTGAACCACAAATTGTTCCGAATGCTGTGTCATTGGTGTGTATGTGTGTGAATGAATGCTTTAGTTTCTGTTTGTGATGAGCCTTTGCCATCACTGTATGGGTAAATGTGTATAGTCAGTTATCATTTACCATATTCCTAATTAGGCCCAATTCGAATGGAGCATTATCCAATTAAGACATGTGGGTGTGGAGGTGGCTGTTGTTTACACTCAGCTGCAGGAGAGAGAGAGGTGTGGGGATGGCTTGTGAGAGCAGTGCCAGGTGAGTTGATGGAGTAGTGTGCTGGACCTGAGTTTGCTGCTGCACGTAAACCAGAGAGGATGTCTGGAGTTAATCGTGGCTGTTTTATCCTTGGAAATAGCCAGAAAGCTCAGTATTTGTGTTGACGGTGTGTGCGGCTGAGAAAATAACACATTTGTGTTTATTGATCTGTGGTGCTTGATTGTGTGCTGGGGGAACCTATGGTTGTAGCGGGACCTGCTACAGTGGGATATGCTGATATTATCCCAGGTTTTAGGACCATCCTTTAGACATGTATACAGTCAGAATGTGCGTCTGTGTGTACCTTTTGTATGTATTGAGGACCCAGGTTAGCAGGGACACAATCTCATTAGCCTCCAAGTCCTCAGAGGCCAGTTCTGTGACACGAATGGACACAGCATTGTGGTAGAGACTGAAAAACCTGAAACACACATACATACATTACATACATTACATACATACATTACATACATACATTACATACATTACATAAAATACATACATACATGAGAGCGGAATGAATGTACAGCTGAATACATTGACTCTTTCCAGGTTTTCATCAGTTGGTCATGTTATTGACAAAATACATGGTTCAATAGATTGTTCTGGTGACAAAGGTTTGATAGGAGTGGATCAGAATTTGGTTTCCATTTTACATTTTTTGAACATTCAACTGTACAAATCCGCTTTGAAAGTGGTAGGACAGTTTGGTGGCCAGGCAAAAAACAAACAAAACAACAACCAATCTCCGGAGAGTGCCACCTACAGAAGTTCTCTGATGACTCCTCCATTGTTGGCTGTATCACAGATGATAGGGAGGAGGAGTACAGAGACCTGACCCAGAACTTCACTAGTTGGTGCGACAGAAACCACCTACAGCTCAACACGAAAACCAAAGAGCTGGTGGTGGACTTCCGGCTCAGCAAGAGGCCCCATTCCCCAGTTGCTATTAAAGGAGAGAAGGTAGAGATGGTGGACACCTACAAGTTCCTGGGGGTGACACTCAACAATAAACTGGACTGGACGGATCACACTGAGGCCCTCTACAGGAAAGGACAGAGCAGGCTGTTCTTTCTGAGGAGGCTCAGGTCATTCAACGTGTGCACTCGGCTACTACAGATGTTCTACCAGTCTGTAGTAGTAGTAGTAGTAGTAGTAGTAGTAGTACCAGTGTCCTCTTCTTTGCGGTGGACTGTTTGGGGGGGGAGGCATCGGCACTGGGGGTTTCAACAAATTGAGCAAGTTGGTGAAGAAGACAGTGTGACAGCCTCCACACTGTCCAGCTCCTTCCCCACCACCAACCTAGCCTTCTTCACTAGCTTGCTAAATTTGTTGGCACCCTGATGAAGGGGAAGCTGAAAGCCATCATGAACAACCCCTCTCATCCTCTCTACACTGAGCTCAGGCAGCTCAGGAGCACTTTCAGCTACAGACTGACCCAGCCGCGAGCCTCAAACGGTTTGGAGGCTCGTTTGTACCATCAGCCATCAGACGCCACTCTAAATTGCATATAGTAAATATATTTTTCACTTTTATTCGTATATCTTCTATTATATTTTGTTAATATTCTTATATTGTGAATCTTATTGTACTTGTACACTATGTACTTGTACTATTTGCACTACATTCCCCTATGCTGCTGTGTCTAACTTGAATTTCTCCTACGGGGGATCAATAAAGGTCTTATCTATCTATTCTGTATGTGATGTGTTCAGTAATCTTGGGACCTGCTCTTTGCTGACAGAAAACCAGACTGATTTATTTAGTATTTGTTACCTGTTGAAAGTGTTGTAGTGTGGAGGGAAGCACTGCACCATGAGGTTCTTGACAACGATGAGGTCATCCAGAACATATTTCCTGGTTATTTCTAGAAGACGAACCAGCCACATTTTATCAGCCTCTCTGGTCACAGACTGGGTGCCCTCAATGCGGGTGCTGACTGTACCCTCCAACACCTGCAACAGAAACAGATCACAAACTTCAAGACAAGCTAATCGGTTTAACGGTTGACTCTTTACAGTTGGCCAGAACACAACCTCTTACTTAGGTAAAGGCAACTAAAACTTAGACACCATCATCTAACCGCCGATTGCCAGTTGTTTTTTTGGTGGGGACTTTGTCATTTTATTTTGCTTATTATTTTGTCTGCCTCTGAAGAACCACAGCCGTTGCCCAGCAACAGATGTTAGATGGCACAGTACACGCTGAGCCGACAAATGAGTGAGAGGAAAAACAGCAGTAGAGACAGATTATGACCATACGATAGGGAATACAGTACAAAGGTGACCTACAGTGGCTCCGACCAGGACTCTGACTCAGGGCACGACAAAGACAAGGTGGGGACAGTTTTTAGGCTGACAGTGGCAGGTTAAAAAAACCCAAAACATATTGGCCAACCCTAGTCTATTCGACAACAAATGAAATCCAGCCATGAATTATATAATGTTCCATGCTGTCACAAAACGTAATTACATTTCAGCATTTAAAATACAATAGCATTGTGAAATACAATCTGCAAAGCCTCCTGGTTAGCACATAACATGTTGGAACCCTGACAGTCATGTTCCACTGTGGGCTCATAACTGTGAGTCATATTTTTGAAGGTAGACCTCAATTATTGGGTAAAGATTCTTTGAGACTAGATTTGACTGCTGTGTAAAATGTAGTCATGTTTTATACAGAGGAAGGAAGGCAGACGAACGACATACGACAAAAATACAAGCAAAAACAGTCAATACGGGTGGGATAGCAGGAAAAATCTGAAGAAGAGTCAGAGTGAAAAGGAAGAAGGTTTGGAAAATAAAGAGGGAAGAAGGGTCAGATAAGGAAGAAGAATCAAAAGAAGAAGAATAGGATCAGTCAGAGGAAGACGAAGGGTCAGAGAAGGGGCGAAAGAGGAGATGGATAAAGAACTAGGGGCGAGATGGTAGACAACATTGGGGCAACTTCAAAGAGTACAAAGACATAATCAACTTAATTCCAACTGTCCAAGTTATTCTTTATAACTTTAAGTATTATAGTATTTCTGTGATCCTACATCACTGCTCTTACCTCGAACATCTTGTCCTTCCACCGTTTGGGTCGCCCAGGTGGGATAAACCCAGTCTGTTTCTTACGGTCGACCATACGTCGATCAATCTTCTCCTCCCGCTCAATGATGCGAACCACTGACACCAGCATGGTGGGGTCCCGACGAACCGTTACCATGGACCTCTGCAGTACCATCCATAACTGTTTGGCCAGCTCATCTGACAAGCCCTGAACCTGTAGGGGATAAGAAAGATTTTTGACTCACGTGGTAAATTGTAAATGGACTGCACTTACATAGCGCCCTTTAGTGTTCCAACCAATCAAAGCGCTTTACACTTCATGTCACATTCACACACATTCATACACTGATGGCAAAGGCTGCCATGCAAGGTGCAAACTGCTCATCAGAAACAGAAAATAAAGCCTTAATAATAATAATAATAAATCCAGGCCTTATACTTGGTAACAAACTCCTCCTAGGGAGTAAATCAGCTTTATATTTGGTCACTATAAACACCATTGTCAAGGAACGGTCGTCGAACAACATGCCTGTAGTGTGTCGCCAAATTTGGACTTTTTGCCAAGACACATAAAGTTGTTGTAACATGCACATTATCCAATCTGTGCAAAATGTCATATGTTCTATTAGAGGCTTAGCCTGAACACATGTACATGCCAAATTCAGTCATATTTACAGCAACACAGGTTTGTGAAATTTTCTTGATCTCGGGGTCTGCGCATGACATGTTGGCGCATAACACAACCAAAGCACACCCCAACTTGCATAGATTGCAAGGGCAAGTTCATCACTGCTTACAGCTTTAACTATAATTATTTTTATGATTAGATGTGAGACTGTGACACCATTTCTCAGGAACCACAGTGTAAACACATTTTTAATTATACAATATTTGCGTGTTGTGAGATTTTTGTTCTGATAGTCAGACTGTAATTCAATTAGTTAAAAAGTTTAAGAATTTTAAGTCTACAGTTAACTAATTGCACTTTCGATTGATATATAGAGAGAAACATGTGAAATATGCAGACTGCCCATGGCAGTAAGTTTCAGCAGCACAGGAGAATAAAAAATGTTATTGATATGTATGACATTCATATCTTTCACAGTCACTTTAACTTACGTCTTCAAAGTAGTTGGAGATGAGGTTCATGTCACTTGTGTTCTTGCTGTCCATACGGTACTGCTCATACATGAGGTCATCTCGTGAACATTCCAGCTCCATCAGCTTCCTGTGAGCCTGCAGCAGCTCTGCCTGCTCGATCAGCTCTCGCGTCTCTGTCACAATCTCCGGTACTGTACACACAGCGCAGTGGCAAACAGACATACAGTACTTAGAGCAACAGAGAGCAGAAGAGAACATTTTGTCAGTGATATAGCCAAGATCTATCTAGAGTTGGACTAAGCTTACCAGAGAAAATGTTTTTAAGGTTCTCCACAGCGGAGGCCAGCTGACTGTGTTGAACTACAGCATCCTTGACATCTTTCAGGTTCTCTATGGTGTTGATGCTCTGCCTCCAGTCTTTGCTCACGTCAGCCAATGAGCCCTGGATATCTTTGACATCCAGCAGGGCACTGTGCAGCTGGGTCAGTCCAGTGCGAACACCATCTAGCTGGGATTGGATGGCTGCCTGAAGGATAACAGAGGGTATCAAGATACAGATATTATTGATAATTACTGAAGTTATTAATAAGCTTTTTGTGTCAATTGATCACAATCAGCTTAGGCATATGGTAAATGCTTGCTTTCTTCTTGAGTATGTGTCACGCTACCATGTAGAACCCAAACGTGACTGTGACACAGATGAACCGGATGTAAAAAATGAAATTATTTAAAGCAACTGCGAGGAACTTTCATTCTGTGTTGATTCTGGCAGCCCCTGTGGACAAAAGCGGTAGTATTCCTCCCACCTCATTTAATTGATTTCAACATGAACATATTATTTCAACATTTAAAAGTTGACCTTCAGAGTTAAACATACCAAGATTTTTGCAGAACCTTAACATGAGGAACAGAAGTGAAACTGAGGAGATGAAACCGGCAATGGCAAAAGTCAGGGAGGAAACACTGGGACTGGGCAGGATGGGAAACAATTCTGTTTCAGTGAAATGACATGAAGTTAACTGTATTTATTGTTATTGTGACATTCATTTGCAATTAACAATTATTTTTGTGATTGTTCCCTGGTTCAAGCTTTGGTGAGGAATTACTGTTTTATTTTTCAGTTTTATATCATTTCAAACAGACTATCTTTGGGCTGTTGACTTTTGTAGAGAACGTTTTACTGACAAAACAGTTGTCGCTGAATAGAGCAGTGAGTAAGTTGATGTGTAAAATGAAAGTCTGTGTGTACTACTATACTGTACTGAGTGCCAACACATCACCTTCAGCCTGGCTTCCACAGAGGCCTTTTTGCGGGCCTCTCTTCTTCTGTACTGCTCCACTTTGTCCAACTGGTCCGATCGCTGCAGCATCCCCGCTACACGCTGCACTGCCGTGGCAACCGCCTCCCGACTTGTCTCCTCCATAGTGTTGCTCAGTAGTATAAAGTACCTGTTGACTCCAAAGGCTTCATGCAAACGCTTGTGACCTGAAAGAAAAAATACAGACTGTCACAAGTAAACCTCCTCCACATCAGACACTTTTAAAAAGACTTTTTTCTGGGGCATTTCTGCATGTTTTTTTTCATAGTGACAATAGCAAGACACAGTAAAGGAAGGGATGAACCGCTGTGAAACTAAACAGCTATCTGACAGCTATGATGTTGGCTGTTACAGGAACTGTGAAAAATACAAATGCAGATCCCATTGCCCTAAACTTTTATTTTTAGATTGTATGCATCTGGCGGTGTGCTCTTTATACTGTGACAGTTTTCTCATATATTGCCCAGCTTACAATATCACAATATATCGCAAGTAGGGATGTACCAATATTTCGGCTGATAGTTGCCTTGTTGACTGACATCGGCCTATTTGCAAATAAGATGGCATTTACTCATATGAGTTTATCTTTAGCGTTGCATCAATTTTGCACTGGTTAAATGTTGTGTTGGGTATTTCCAACTTGGAAATAATTACCTCTGTTTTCCAGGACTGACACAAATTTCATGCAAATACTGACGTGCTCCATGCAGCAGCACGGCCAGTTCAGTCAGCTCTGTGTCTCACAATCAGAAGAGAAGTACAATGAACTGCACCAAGACAGAGACACTTATATTTGTAGATTTATTTGTCTCCCGGCACAAATGGTGAATAACTAATAATGATCCACAATCTGTGCATCCCTATCCAAGAATTCTATGATTTGATGTTGAAATATAAGAGAAAATACAGCCATCAGCCATAAAATGCATTCCCATAACAACAGACTGTGTGCACTGACACCTTTCTATCAGAACCAGCATTAACTCTTTCAGCAGTTTGAGCTACAGTAGCTCCTCTGGTGGATCGGACCACACGGGCCAGCCTTCACTCCCCACGTGCAATCAGCCTTGGTTGAGGTTCACCACTTTTGATAGGTACTGACCTCTGCAGACCGGGAACACCCCACAAGAGCTGCAGGTTTGGAGATGCTCTGACCCAGTCGTCTAGCCATCACAATGTGGCCCTTGTCAAAGTCGCTCAAATCCTCACACTGCCCATTTTTCCTGCTTCTAACATCAACATTGAGGACAAAATGTTCACTTGCTGCCTGATATATCCCACCCACTGACAGGAGGCATGATAACCAGATACTCAGTGTTATTCACTTCACCCGTCAGTGCTATCAATGTTATTGGTTGATCGGTGTATAGATCAACATTTTTTCTCTACAAAATATATTTTGTGATAATTTGTCTCAATGTCATTTAGATTGAAATTGTCTCGTGAACCCAGTATGGTGAGTTGTATCGAACCGTGAGTTGAGTGAATATAGGACCACAACAAATCCATATGACACTCCTTCCTCCACATTTCACTGTACACAATGTGACAGGGATACATAAAGACAGCTACTACACTACCTTTAGTTTCTTTATTGTTACATGGCTTCACTAGCTTATTTCACTGTAGCACCGAGTGACGTTAGGTTACAGGTTAGCTGCAGGCTGACAACGTAATGACAGCTAGAACGCGAGCGGTTAGCTAACGTTAGCGTACTTTTACAGCAGCCGGACAAATTATTCAGTGTGACATAAAGTGTCAAATAAAACATTAGCTACCCCTACAAACGGATTCTAAATCCCCCAGCCTAATAAATATAACAACATAAGCTAACTGAAGCTAACAACGGAGAGAGTAGGGTCAAACTAAAACACAACCTATGAGACAAGCACCCTGCGCATAACACTCTTACCTCAGCACTTAGGGATAAACGTGGGGAATATGAAATGCATTTCTACAAATATAACATTATATTTTTAACGGTTGTTGTGGCTCCACTTCCGTCTTCGTGCTCCGCCCAGCATCAGCCGGTGGTTCTTCTTCTTCTTCTTCTTCTTCTTATTTTACGGCGAAGCATTGTCGCCACCTTCTGCTCCGGAATATGAATCAGAAAATAGACTTGCAATCTAAATCCCTTAAAAAACCCCAATGAAAAACCAAAACACACACACATACACACACAACTAACTTGTACTTTATCCTATGTGCTTTACCGTATCTTTTTTATCTATCATAAGTGTAGTAATTAATTAGCTGTTGTGTTTCCAGTCAAGACTGATTTGTTGTCTGAAGGATATTCTTCATAATGAATAGAACAGGACAGTCATAGAATAACCTGTAGAACAGCGCTAACCAATCTCATTAAATCAATTATTAAACACAAGCCGTTTTAATGTGATAATACCTGCAATTTTTATATAGAGAGTTTTACCATTAATTTCCTACAGCTTGGGGCAGTGGTTCCCAACCTTTTACCTACATTGAGTAAACTGATGACCCCTGACTGACATATTTTATGTATATTTCCTTTTATATTTCAACAATAACAGTAGTGATAAACTGTACAATGAACCTAAACAGTGAACAAAATAAATGCAGGGAGTTTGTGTAAAAAAAAAAAGCAAGAGATTTGGATGACTTTTGAGAAGATTTTCTGTGAATATTGATGAGTTTTCCTTATATTTTTATACAATTCTCAGTCTGTATTATTTATTTTTAAAAGTAATACAGCTTAATAGGCTTCTTTTTGACAGATTCAGTGTTTGTTTTTTTCTTTTTGGGGGGGGCTTTATTGCCTTAAATTGATAGTGACACAGACTCTCTTTTATCAGAGAGTGAAGGCTCTGTGAATATAGCTTGTGTTCAGCCCAAAGTTTACATTTCAAATAATAATATCAACTTTAAAAACAACTATACTATCTTTTTGAGAGAAATAAATTAAATGCAGAGCTATAGGCCTACTGTGTATATTTAAAAAAAAAAAAAAAAAAAAGGTTTTCTTACACCACTTAAAATCAAGAAAGTATTGCGACCCCTTGTGAAGCTTGGGCATCCCCTTGTGGGGCTTTTGGCGTTCAGGTTGGGAACCACTGGCCTGGGGAATGTTCTACTCTACTGTTAGAGTTTCTAATTGTGGAAACTATTAAAGGATTAATTCCATGTGCCTGAAGATAAAATTTGTAGATGTTTCTCATTAACCAGTACTGGGATGATGGAGAGTGAACCACAGGCATTGGATCCAAAGCTCTGTCTTATCTGTACCAAACCACTGGAAAATCTTTCCAAGAAACAAGACCTCTATGTCAAGAATCCCAAGGTAGAAGGCCTTCGAAGAATACTAAATGTTGCAGAAGAGAGAGGAGATGACGTCCATAAAACTTTATTTCCACATAGAGATGACATACTCTCCTTCAAAATAAAAGTGTCATATCATGTATCATGCAGGGCAAACTACTCCAGTAAGACTAACATCAATGAACAGCAAGTTACTCCTGCTCAAAGAGAGAGCCTCTCCGAACCAATATCATCAAGAAGGATAAGTAGAGAGGATGCAACATCTTTCAATATACGAAGGGATTGCTTAATTTGTGGTAAAGATAGTATCAGACCAGAATGTCTGACACCTATTACAACAGGTACAGGCAAGAGTACCAGAGACAAGGTCCTTAATGCTGCATCAGAAAGATCAGATGAAGTCATACATCATCGGTTACTTTTGCACCAAGATCTCTTTGCTTATGATGCAAAGTACCATAGGAGATGTCTCTCACACTACATTTCTGCTAGAAACATAGCAGCTGCCAGGCGCAAAAATGAAGCTGAAAAAGAGACCACTATGTATGACAAGGCCTTCATGGAGCTTCCTGAACACATTGACAAAACATTATTGTCAAAAGACATGGAAGTAACAACTCTTAACTCTTTAACTGGTAACTACACTGACATACTGAGGACAATGTCTGAGGCCCAAGATGAAGCAAATGAACAAGATAAGAAGTACAAATCCTGGAAGTTGAAAGAAAGGCTCCTTCAGCATTACAATGACAGGCTGGTATTTGTTGAACGTTCTGGAAAAACAGATTTGGTGTGCTCTGGTAATATGTCCATTGGTCATGCATTGAGAGCAGCTGCCCAACTCAGAGAAGAAAAGACAGATGATGACTGTGAGACAACACTTCCAAAGACACTTGACAGTATTTCTGATACCCAGATCTTACACAAGGCTGCAGAAATATTGAGGAGAAGTATGGAGAATGTTGAACATGAACGTCATTTCTATGTTAGCAGTGATCAGCTCTCTCGTCTCCAATGCAGCAAATATGTGCCTGACCTTCTGTATGACTTTGTAAATTGGTGTGTTGATTCAAGAGCTCTTAGAAACCACCAAACATGTGTTGAGGAACCATCTTTGAAAGAAAATCTTTGTGTAATCAGAATCTGCCACAGTCTTATTGCACAGTGTCGCCACATTCAAACACCAATAACCCTGGGACTTGCAATTCTGATTCATCATGAGTTTGGAAGCAAGACACTAATTAATGAGCTCAGTGCAATGGGCCACTGTGTTTCTTATGATGAGGTTAGGCACTTTCTCACATCAGTGGCAGCAGACCAGATGTCAAGGGCAAAAAGTGTTTACATCCCTAATGGTCTCTCCAATGTGTCTGAACATGGGATTGTTGATGCAGCCATTGACAACTTTGACCAAAACGAAGACACTCTGGATGGGAAGCACACAACTCATGCTATGGCAACTGTTGTGTACCGAAGAGGCCATGTTTTCACAGCAGAGAAGAGCATTGCAAGGGTTTCGCAAAGATCTCTAGCTGCTATAAACACCTGTGACTTGAATGGAGGAAAACTACACAGGTAAATGTGTTTTTGTTTGGATTTGATTAAAATATTGTTATGGTATGATAGAGAGTATTTTTATGTTATAGTAAATATCCTTTCCCTATCACCTGTAACAGTACTGGTTTATTGGGATGATAAAAAGGCTGGATGAATGTTAAGACTTACAGTGTTTTATAAGTAATGTATATGATTATAAGCACCTTCTTATTTCAATTTTGATCACAGGTACATCAAACCTCCAAAGCGACCAGAACCACCTGAACTTCACAAACCTGAGATGCTGGAATCCAACACTGCAGTCTCAATGGCAGCAGACAGAAGAGATCTAGTGTGGAAGCTTGTCAGGAATGTCCCAGCATGGTCTGCATTCAATGCCTTCACATCCGATAATTCCTGTGCTATAGCCAGTGTTCTCTACATGCCTTTCATTAGGGAATCACCTTCGGATCTGTCCACTATATATACAGCTATGATACGGCTTGTAGCACTTGCTGAAGAACTAGGACAGCATCACAGCCTTGTGACTGCAGACCTTGCTATCTATAGCAAAGCACAACAGATATTATGGAGCAAACCACCCTTTTTACAAGGAAAGTTAACAATGATACTGGGAGGTATGCACATTACCATGGCTTACCTGGCAAGCATTGGAAAGCTCTATGGTGATGGCGGCCTCAATGACATACTGACTGAGTCTGATATGTATGCTGAGGGAACAGCTCGACAAATTCTTCATGGCAAACAACTGGCAAGAGGCGTTAGGAGCATTAAACTAAGTACATGCCAGTGTTTGTAACAGAAATGAAATCCCTTGAACATCAACAGCCAGAAGCATATGCATTCATGCAGCATGGAGGATTTGTTGTCCACTGGTCTGAGGAGCGAAGCTTCAACTGTGTGGCTACTGATCAGGCACTGGAGCAAACCATCAATCGAGAGGGAAAAGTCATGGTGGAGTTGTTGGGTTTACATTACGAAAGGCAGCTCTCACAAGATGGCTGATGACAAGACATGTAACCACAGCATATGTGGATGCCATGAAAGACCTCTGTGACACTGATGAGAAGAGTTCAAAAGCCCATCAGGAACATGGCTCATCCAGAATGGACAGAGATGAAAGGGATGTACAGAAGATAATGGAAATTTTGGAGGAGATGCAGAATCCTTTCAACCTTGATAGCATTCCAGAGGAACTGATTAACATTGTCACAGGTCAGGTTGCATCTGAGAAGGTTGCAAAAGAGCTTTCATGTTTCCTCCAAGAGGGTGCAAAGCAAAACACAGTCTTTATTGAGGAACGCCTGGCAAAATCCACAAGATCACAGAGCTTTTGGGACCGTGAAAATAGAAAACACTGTGCAACTTTCCAAGACATGAAAAAGTAATTTGAGGCTGGCACAAGAAAAGTTCACATGGATTCAGATGTGCTCTTCCGAAGCCTTCTTGCTGTTTCCAAGCAGAGGGAGGTGTCGATGGACATTGTGATGTCTCATGAACTTGCTGCTGTCCCCCCATCATTGTTTAATGATGATGGAAGTATGAGGAAAACAACAAAGGCTGACTTTGCTTAGAAAATTGAGACTGTAGTTGAGGAGATACAGCAACTGCCAAATTCAGAGGAACCATCTGCGTACATCATTGATGGCATGGCTCTTCTACAGGGTCTCCATGATTCAGACTTCCAGACATTCAGTGACATTGCAGCCTTAACAGGAAAGGAGGGCTTCAGCTGCGTGGCTATAGTCTTTGACAGATATGACCATTCGCCATCAATAAAAGACCTTGAAAGGAAACGCAGAGGCACAGTTCAGGTTAAGAGACCTACACATGTTATTACAGGAAGAGCAAATGTTCCTAACTACAGAAAATACCTGAAGTGCAGTGGGAACAAGGCTGCCCTGTGTAGCTTTGTCAGCAACTACATAGTGGATACAGGACCTCAGAGAATCTCAGCAGAGAAGACCATTATTTTGGCAGGAGGTTTTGAAAATGGTGAGGAGGTTAAGATGGTCAGCCAGTCAGGGGTTGAAAGCTTAGTAGACCTATACAGTAACCAGGAAGAGGCTGATACAAGATTGGCGTTACATGCAATCACATTCTCGTGTTAACATCAAATGCAATGACACAGATGTACTGGTACTGCTTGTCTACTATTCAAGCAAAGGAATGTTTGCTTCATCTACTGTGTACATGCACTC